TAGCATTCACACCTGAGATGTGACCCTTCTCTGCCCCCATACCCTTTCATTCATCTCTCATCACTTTCCCCTTGGCCATAGTCTGTTTTAAGTTCCAGAAGTTTTGCATAGCTATTCTAACAGATTTTCATGTTAGTGCCAACTCAAGTGCCCTATCCTGTCCTTGAACTCTTAGGCCAATAAATATTTATACAGTTCATTGGCAATTAATTAGGTGCCTTTGGCACTTCATCCAATGGCTTGTAAATCAATATAGTTATTCCATCTCTCCCATCTTTGTTTCTTGGCTTCCCAGTAGAAAGACAAGCTAGTGGGCAGGGAAGGCAATTTCTACTTCTTCATATACATGTCCCCTACATGTAGTAGCATGCAATGAATATTTATGGCCATATAAATTCAACTGGCATTTGATTATTTAACAATAAAGCGAGAACTTTTCCAGAGAGAAAAAACATTATCTTGGCTGCTCAATGAAGGGAAGGCTGTGAAGAACATTGATTTAGTGTGAGGGCTGTGATGCCAGACAGCTTTGAACCCCAGCTTCTCACTTAACCATGCCATCCCCTCCCCCTGCCTCAGTTTCCACCTCATAAACTGGAAATAACAATAGTGCTTGACTAAACCCCTAAAACAGTGCTGGAACATGGGCAGCATCTTCTAAATTGTCAGCTATCATAATGTTATTATTCCTTCCTAATAAATTTTATGTTCTTAAGAAATATACATGCTTGACACATAAGTAGCCTTTACCTCATTCAATTTTTATCTAGAGAATCAGATTCTTATCTTTAAAACGTGAAATGTCTGAACGATTGTGTTTTTTTCCTCTCATTATGCAAGGTAAAGGAAGAAAAAAAAGAAGCTGATCAAAAACAATAAAACAAACAAACAAAAGAAAAGTCCACAATAAACTAGTGTTAGCCAAATAGAAGAACCCAAGGGAGCATGTGGAACATTGCCCGATCTATCTACACGGCAAAAGGGAGGTAGAGGAAAAACCATCAATTAAAATTAGTAAGTTTTTAATTATCTCTGATGCTGACCTCATGTACCAGGTACCTGAAACAAAGAAAAGAAATGTGGATAATTGGGAATCATGGTATTTTCACAACTGGACACTTTCCCTTTAACAAGACCAAACCTGTCTCTTCCATTGTACCCTCATGGGCTACCTGACATCACGGCTCATGTTTCCTCTCTGCTGAAAAGAGAAGGCCTGGCAAGTAGCTGTCTAGACCCAGCTCCCTCAGTCAGGTTGATGATTAGTAGTACTTTCCAACTGTATCCTGATTTTCTGTACTTCTTGCCAGCTCCAAGCCAGCGCTCCACCCCAAGCCTCCATTTCTCGTCTGGAAAACTGAAGTGGCTTGCTAAGTGGTCTTCTTGTTTGTTATCCTCTGAAATTACCTTGTCTTGACTTTTCCACTTGTTTTTTATTTGTTTCTCCCATTAGCCTATAAATTTGTTATCCACCAGGGGCTGGCACATGCATGGCCCAATAAATATTTCTCGATTGAATGGAAAGAGCTATGAATAGTGGCTTTCTCAAGCAAAAGACATTTTCTTGCCCAAAGGGAAATGTACTTTGTCCATATGAAAGTGAGCTCCTTAATCTGTCTACTGGGCAATATTTTGCTAACTTCTATGAAATGATAGCAGACTTCAAAGTCATAAAAGGTAGTCATGAGCTTCCTTTTAAGTGTGTAATTTGTATTGATTTTCACACCCAGAAATGGAAGACAGAGAGTAAAATATCCCCCAATTATGATTGTGACTAATTTTGTGATTTTGAGGCTGCAGGCTGATGCACTTACCTGTGATGACTCTGGTGGTCAAGTACCTCCCACTTCATTCTCAGCAACTGTTATCAGCTATCTCCCTTCACACTGGCCCTACATCATGTCTGGGATCTGCCACACTCCTGAGGACCTTGGGTGATAAGTCAGGTCCTCATAGCACAGCCCAGAGCCCCTGGGACAGAAAGGCTCTGGGCTATTTCCTGTAGGGGGTACCTCTATTCTGGAGTATTTGATCTTCCCCTTGTCCTTCAGCTCTGGTTGACCCCAAAGTCATCCCAAAGGCAGGCTGATGTAGAGCCTGGTGTGGCACAGGAGGTTCTAGCTAATGGTGTGGTTAGTCATATCCTGCCCTCTCCCTCTGTATGTGACCTGGGGAATGTGGGCAGAATCACATGGTCAGTAGAAGTTGGAAGGCCATGGGAAAATGAGCAACCATAGGGGGTTAAGAGCAAGACGAGTTATGAGGAGTCAGAAGTGGAGGTGCTGAGTTGAAGAAGAGACACAAGACTTGAAAGCAACAAGAGATGGGGCAGACATATGAAGGGAAGTGGATGCTAGAGAATGGTGCATCAAGGTATAGATGGCGTGCTAGAGGGATGCTCCAGGAATTCCTGGAGCTGGGTGCTGAAGCCAGGTACTTCAGGAAAATTCTGGCTTCTTTATTGCACTACAATAAACCCTCATTTCCTGAATTACCCTAAATGGCTATTTTTATTGGGCTCACAAGCTAATGTAACAAAAGTAACTACCATTGATGGGCTGAGGGCCCACACCAGCATGGGCTGCCCTGTTAGGCCCTGTGTATTGAGGAGCATGGATTGGGAGGTGGTATCCAGGTAGCTAAAAGGCTCTAATATCCATAAGGGTGGTTTGGTTCCTTGGGGATCTAAGCTCCATTTTTTTATGTGTTCCCCCTTAATTTTACATACATATATAAAATATATATTTTATCAATATATTTATATATAACATAAAATACCTAAGTATATATAATATGCTATATAAACATAAGCTTACTGCAACCCTATATCGTAATATGGAACTATAAATGCTAGGAAATATCCATCAGGCCCTTCCATAGAATGCTTGCTGAAATAAGTGCTAACAAAAAACCCAAGATTCTGGGTGGTGCCTGTGGCTCAAGGAGTAGGGTGCCAGCCCCATATACTGGAGGTGGTGGGTTCTAACCCGTCCGTGGCCAAAACAACAACAACAACAAAACAAGATTCTGGATCCCACCCCTGGTTGAATGTTCAAAGTAGAAAAATTGGATTATAATTTGCAAAGACTTTTTCCATCCCCAGTGGCAATTGATTAATTCCTCCTGACAAAAAATTTGCTGTGCTATCCCTATTAGTCAGATATCCTCTGAGATTAGTTTAATGGGAACCCTTATGACTTTCCAAACATTTGAGGCAGTTCTAGTAATTGGCACATATGTGATAACTTCATCAAAGTAGAAAACAAAAGAAGTCCTAGAAAGGGGACTAAATAACCCCAAACAATGACATGGATACAATTCCAGTAATGAACAACTAAACTCCTAGTTTCCTGGAGGTAAAAGGAAAAAGAGAAGATCACAGTGATAATAATTATCATTGTTTAATCAAAACAAATCAATCAAAAGAAAGGAATTACTTTCTTGGAATTACTCAAAAAAATTAAGCCCTTCATAATTTAATCATGAGAATAGTGTTATTTTTGCTTGTATACACTATATTCCAGTCCTATCTGCAAGCAAAATGTAGATAATTTTATCTTTCAGAAATATTTGGACAGGCAAAACATTCACATATTTGAAAACAAAGAGTATGAAAAGTGTACAGTGAAAAATTTCCCTTCCAACCTTGTCACGTATCTGCCCAGTTTCAAGTCCCCTCACCCCCAAGTTTGTATCCTTCTAGAGTTTTTTGGCACACTTAATAATATCATCATCATCAATAGTAGCAAAATACATATTTTTAACCCCTGCCCCCTTGGAGCATCTTGATTTTTTTTTTCATTTAACAACATAATTTGCAGGCTTTTAAATATCAGTACAAGAAAAGTGTCTTAGTCCATTCAGGCAATTATAACAAAATATCTTAATACTGGGTCATTTATAAACAATACAAATTTATTGCTCATAGCTCTGGAGGCTGGGAAGTCCAAGATCAAAGCACCTGGTCAGGGCCCTTTTCTCATAGATGGTATCTTCTAGCTATGTCACATGGTGGAAGGGGTAAACAGTCTCTCTTAAGCACCTTTTATGATGGCACAAATCCTATTAATGAGGGCAGAGTCCTCATGACCTAATCACCTCTTAACTGTTCCACCTCTTAACACTATCACATTGGGTGTTAGGTTCCCACATATGAACTTGTAGGGGACACCAACTTTCAGACCATAGCAGTAAGGCTCCTCATTCTCTTTTATAGCTATTTGGCAGCTCATTATCTGGATGTATCATGACCTATTTAACTAGAGTCTACTGATATCCTTTGGGTTGTTTCCTTTTTTTTTTTTTTTTTTTTGCTATTATAAGTGAAATTGGGGTGACTAATTTTACACATATGCAAGTATAGCTAGCTGTGGGATAAATTCTTCAAAGCAGATTGCTGAGTCACATGGCAAATACATTTGTCTGTTAGATAGCTCTTGCCCAATTGCCCTGCACAGGGATTTTAGTACCTTATGCTTCTACCAGCAGAGCTAGAGGATCGAGTGCCCCATAATATCTGTATGCTTAGCCAGAACTGCAGCATCCCAGGAAGGAAAGAAGAGGGGTGTAAGAAAGGAAGAGATGTTTCTCAGGTCCCTCCTACATGCCAGGCATGCTATATACACACTCTAGATACACTCTGTGACTGAGGCAAACCGTGGGGTTTTTGAATTTTCCAGATGAGGAAACCAAGTCTCAGAGAAGTTAAGATTTATACCATGTCTCAAGTAAGTAGATGAGAAGAATCTGGGACCCATGGCTAGCTCTGAAGCCAGCTCACTTCCAGTGTTTCACTCTCATGGAGTGAGGGGAGGACATCTCAGCAGGGCTCCGGTGTCCTCCTAAGGCTGTTTCTATTAGCATTCACAAATGAGAACAGCAGATTTTGTTTCCCAACTACTTTATTTTCTTGCCCTGCCTTGAACTTCAAGTGTCAGAGCTCAGTCCTGCTTGAAGGAGCCCCCTGGAAACCCTCCCCACCTAGGCCCCAGTCCCACCCTTCACATGTGGCTCTTGTGGGCACAGCAGGGCTCTTCTGGGTAGGGCTGTGACTCTCCCAGAAGAGCATCCAGCCACAATTCCAGGTCTCGCACTAGCTGCTCCAGCTCTCGCACCTCTTTCTCTAACTTCTCCAAGAAGACATGCAAATTCTCCTTCAACCAGGTCCTGATGACCCTTATTGGCTCTTCTGAGGGTTCACTGGTCTGATATTCAAGACCCTGAAAGGCAGACATCAAAGTTGCATCTTGAACTTTTTCATGTAGGACCACCTTGCCACTGTCTTCAAAAGGTTTCCTGGGCCCTTGCACATGCTATTTGTTCTGCTTCCAGAACCTATCCCCACCTGTTCCACCTGGCCAGCTTCTACTTATCCTTCGTGATCCAGCCTGCCTCTGGGGAACCTTCCCAGATTGCCTCATCTCAGTGGTCCCCTCAGTACTTTGCTTAATATGTTACCTGAGAAATCACAGGATTCTGGTAACATTTACACTCTCTGATTCTTTCTGACATCTCCCAGCTTCTTCCTGAAATGCACACAAAAATCATCTCTTAAGGGTAAATGAGTGGTAACTGAAATAAACCTGGTTGGTCATCCCAGTGGGATGCAGTGGGGGGGAGGGGGGACTAGGAGAAGGAAGCTTATGGAGGTCCCCTTACCATGAAACCAGAATGCTCCACTAGACTCTATGTGGACCCAGTGGCTCCTTTTTTAGAATCCGGAATGCTCACCTGATATTCCTGTGCCCAAGTACAACACCAAGACCAGCAAGGCCAACAGCGTCTGGGAAGAGGAAGAGGAAGGGGAACATGAGGGTGAATCTCTCCAGGCCCTCCTGCTTCCCTCTCAGAGGGCCAGACATGGGGCACTGTAAGACAGTTTTTAGAGATTTTTTTCCCTAATTTTCTGAGGCACACACACTTACTACAAACATAGCAGAAATAGATAACTTGGCAACTTACTGACATTTCATTTGTGTTTTCCCTCCTTTCTCCTTTCTGAGAGGGAAGGTCCACCTCTTTTCTCAATCTTTGCCTCATTAAAACTTTTTTCATTTTAATTGATCTTTAAAAGGAATCAACTTTATTGTGGTATAAATTACATGCAACAAAACGCACACATTTAAAATGTGAGGTTGATGAGTTTTGCAAGTGTCTCTCTCTACCTGTGGACTATCACCCCAATCAAGACTTAGAACTCTTTTAGTATTCTAGAAAGTTCCTTCATGTCCTTTTGCAGTCAATTCCCTCCTTACCACCACTGTGCCAGAATCATGAATCAATCTGCCTTCTGTCACTATGGAATAGTTTTTCCTGTTCCATAACTTTATATAAATGGAATGACATAGTATATATGCTTTTGTGTTTAGTTTGTTTTTTTTTTTTTTGCTTAAGGTAAAGTTTCTGAGATGCCTCCATGGTTTTAGGTGCTCAGTTTTATTGATAAGTTATTTATATTACATATTATGTTAGTGTTTCATTGATGAATACTTATAGTGTATAAAAATAACAGTTAATCTCCTTATCTGTTGATGGACTTTTACATAGTTTCCAATTTGGGATTATTAAGAATAAAAGTCTATGAACACTCATGTACACATCTTTGAGTGGACATATATTCTTATTTCTCTTGGGTTAGTATCCAGAAATGCAGACACTAGGTCATATGGTAAGTGTATATTTAATTTTTTAAGAAACACCGAGCTGTTTTCCAAATATTTGTACCATTTTACATTCCTACCAGCAAGTCACGAAAAGTTCTAGTTGCTCCACTTGTTTGTCAACACTTGGTATAGTCAATCTTAATTTTAGGCATTCTATTGCTAGTGATATCTCCATCTAGTATTTGTATGCATTTTCCTAATGATTTGTGATGTTGAACATTTTGTCATTTGCTTTTTGACCACCATAATTCATATATAATGTTTGTGGCGTGTCCATTTGAGTCTTCTGCTCATTTTTTATCAAACTGTCATCTTCTTATTAAGCTGTAATTGTTTTTTTCTCCCTGTATTCTAGATATAAGTCCTTTGAGGGATATTTGTACTGCATTTTCTTTAAGTCTGTGGCTTATGTTTTCATTTTCTTGCCAGTATCTTCTGAAAATTAAAAGGTTTCAGTTTTGATGAAGTCCAGTTCATCAAAGTTTTCTTTTTGTGGTGGTACTTTTTGTGCACGGTCTAGAAAAATTTGCCTACTTCGAGGTTATGAAGATTTTGACCTGTTTTCTTTAGACATTTTATTGTTTGTGCTTTTACATTTAGGCATATGATCCATTTTGAATTCATTTTTGTACATGATGAAGTAGGGATTGAGATTTTTTTTCATATAGGTGTCCACTTGTTCTAGAATTGTTTGTTTAAAAAGATTAATTTTTTCCTCATTGAATTACATTGGTGTCTTTGTAAAAAATATATACACCATGTATTATGTGGGTCTGTTACTGGATTCTGTTGTTTTATTGTTCTATGTATCTATCTTTATGTCAACACTAAACCTGTATTACTCTCTGTTAGGAATGTAATAACAGGATATCATAAATTGGGTGTCTTTTTTTTTTTTTTTTTTTTTTTTTTTTGAGATAGAGCCTCTAGCTGTCCCCCCAGGTAGAGTGCTGTGGCATCACAGCTCACAGCAACCTCCAAAACCTGGGCTCAAGTGAGTCTCCTGCCTCTGCCTCCCAAGTAGCTGGGACCACAGGCGCCCACCACAATGCCTGACTCTTTTTTTTGTTGTTGTTGCAGCCGTCATTGTTGTTTGGAGGGCCCGGGCTGGATTTGAACCCACCACCTTAGGTGTATGTGGCTGGCGCCTTAGCCACTTGAGCCACAGGCACCCAGCTGCTAAATCTTGATCTCTTGTTGAGCCTGTGGTCCGTCAATTCATTCATCAGATGGCCTAGACCAAGAACCTGAAATCCAGGATCAATGTCAACAAATCAGCTATTCAGATAATTTAGGTAAGTAATTTATTTATTTATTTCATAAATACATAAATTTTCTTGAATTTAGCAGACAGTACTAGTATTATTTATATTTTATAGTGGTGGCAAAAAGTCTAGCACTGGCCTTGACAGTGACACTT